CGTACGGACGAAGGAAAAAATCATCTACTAAGATTTCATAATTTAGAAGTGAAGTGATGTTTGAAGTAGTATTGTCTTCTTGTATAATTTCCCATTAAGCTTATATAGGTATTCTTTATAGTATCAGTTTTCAAATCATAGTATAAATTTTCATTTTATACGAAGTCACTGCTTATATTAGTATTGAGAAGATGTCTTATAAGAAAGAAGCCTTTTCTAACCAAAGTGAGAAACAAGTAGTACTTGTGGAAGTGGACCACCAGAATTTCATGAATGGGTTATACAGGTATAGTCTTGTGCCAAATTAGCAATTCCGTCTCAGTTCTAAAGCAGAATATCTAAGGGGTAATTCGAGGGTCACCCATCCTTCTCCTACCACCAATTGATTGGAACAGTTACTAAAGGAAATCTGTGGCCATGCATTAATATCTAGACAGTTAGTTAAAATAGGTGGTGCCGCTAACATTTTTGAAGTTGACGAAAGTCTGTTTTCGCGTCCAAAAAACGACGTTGGTCGTATCCTTCCGTTCCTAGTGGGTGTATGACGGGATTTGCTGAGAAAACAAAGAATATTTTTTTTTTTTTAATTGTTGAACCTAACCACTCTGCCAGAACTTTTATTTTTTTGAAGAAAATATGGTTAGAAGCCGCTATGGCAAAGAAGTACCGTTTTGTAACATTTATTTTGAAAAGTGCAAGAATTCATTTATTATTAATTGCGTAATTTGACGTTTACTTGTTTTTTAACGGAACATTAAGCAAGTGCATTGCATTTTGGCTTTAAAAAATAAAGACTAATTTTTTAATCTATAAATATTTTAATTATTAAAATATACATACAGGGTGAGTCAAAATTCATCACCATATTTCACCTCTGAAGCCACTACAGATTTATTAGAAATTTACGCCAATATAAATTCCTACAATTGTCTAATTTAAAACGGCGGTCAGTAGGCGAGCGATTAATTCACCGAACACTGGTAGTTTGACATCCATTCTGCTCCAGGAAAACGGGGTGGCTATATGGTAGTTTTCGTAGCTTTCCTCATGTTCAACGGGTATGCGCGATAATTTCTTCAGAACGTTCACGAAGACATCCTTCCCCTTTAGGCTAAGTACCCTCGAGTGCTTTGCCTTGATTAAGTAAATCAAATCTAGTTTTGACCAACCCATGTTAGTTAATTAGTTGGTATATAAGACAGTATTAGTTGCTTTTATGGAACACAAATCGTCCCATAACTTGTTTTAAAAAGCTGGATTTTACGCTGATATTAATATATAGAATTAAGTAAGGCAACCAAATAAATGTAAGTTATAAATACCTCCCTAAATTCATTTGTACGTAACGAAAAGCGCATGATTAGAATGTCTTTTTAAGGTGCACTTTGGTGCAGAATTCATCATCATATTTGGTGAGGAGGTAGGGAATAGGAAAAGAAGAAGATTTCACATAAGAAAGCATGGGCGCAGACTAAACGCATGGTGGTGTAGAGGGCGATGTGTGTACACAACGTCCATACATAAGCACAGCTGTTTGACGAGTGCAGCCAGTCATCATTCGACTAGGTGACTTTGCAGAAGTAACATGAACTGGTATACGTGGAATAAACTTGCAGATATGCATGTAAATGCCAGGCATATTCCAGAAGGTCCGATTGTCCAGGTAATGCCTTTGTGAGTCATGCATTCTAGCACATGATCAGTAGTTCGAGTACCTCTCGTAAGTCTGTAAAACCGATGCAAAGAAATGTTACATATAAGAAAATAAATGTTTTTTCCTTACTACTTCCTTTTTATGTGTTCTTTCCATCATTGAACTGGGGTCATTTTGCCCTACTACATGATATATGCGCTATGTGAAATCTTTTTCCTATTCCCTACCTCCCCACCAAATATTGATGACGAATTCTGAATCACCCTGTATATGTATGTTTATTCTAAAAATAATCAATTCTTAATAATATAATAATCAATAGTTAATATTTTACAATAATGAATATTTTGAATATATATATGCAGATCCTATTTTGTTCACTTTACATTTGACAAGTTTCTGTCAATTTCTGAAGTTGAAAATTGAAACATCTCTGCACTGTAAAAATTTTTACAATAAGAAATATCTAAAAAGTAAAAAAGAAAAATAATGTAATAGTGAAAAAAATTAGTAATACAAATATAATGGTAAAAAAGCACATGTCTAACAAAAAAAAATCCCTTTGCCATATTAAAATTACTTTCGTAAAAGCCATAGCTGATATTAACTCAAATATTTTAAAGCAGAAAATGCTATAACACTTGCATAAAGCGAACGCACAGTTATGTAAATCATCATACATAGTTTGTCGAAATTGAAAATAAGAGCCCGAATGCCTTGAAAAGTTTTGAAATAGTTTCATTTCTAAGAGCCTTTTAATATATTTTGAATTTTCAAAATTTTAGAAGCATCAACAAACAGGTAGAAAGAGAATTACATAATTTTTTCAACCAGAAGTCTTAAATATAAAGTTCAATTTAAATATTATCACTTTATTGTACATATGTCGTTGCAAAAAATTGCTGTAAACTTATCTTGGTACTATTCCGTTTTGAGGACCGTAAAAAATTACAGCGAAAATGTATGCGCAAAATCGCCAAATCTAGCAAACGCGTCCATTTAACAGCGCGCCAAATCTAGCTGATAACAGCGCTGATTTCAGATCGAGTAAGTTTATATAGTTTTATATTTCTTAAGACGCCATTGAAATACTAGTTTAATTTTTAAATCCTTTTTTGATTTTAAATCCTTCTTTAATATCCTACGGATTTAACAATTTGGGAATTGCCATGACGAAAAGTCTGCAATAGAATTTTGGGTAAAGGTGTCAGAATCATCCACTACTGTGACGCGTTTTTAAAAATTGCACATACTTCGGTATCCATGTGCACATCGACCTATTTTCACTTAAAAAAAAATCCCAGAAATTGCACAAAAATGGCACTGCGCACACCCTTGGCTTTATCTATGTACACATCGACCTATTTTCACTTGAAAAAGTAAAAGAAAATTGACAAAAATCCAATAGTTTTTACCCTTGTAAAAAGCGGCAAACAAATAAGTGGGCGATTCTTTACCGAGAATATTTTCAAATATTTTCATTCATTATAGAAAATTACGTTTGAACAACCAACGAGATGAAATGATGCTTTAGCCATAAGTCGGTAGCGAAATAGCGATGCAGGCATCCATTCACTTATGTTTAGCAATTTTTATATAAATTATAATAATGATCTGAAATAGTTATTTACTATTACGCTTCCATTCAGTCATGTTTAGCCTTTTTCATATAAATTATAATAAAAAAAGTATTATATGAAATTAATCTTTCATCTAGATTAAAATATCATTCTTAGATAGTTATTTACTATTACACTTCCTTTCTTGCGTTAAGGTTGCCGCAATTATTTTTGGCAGCATTGGCATCAACAATAGTTTGGCGATTTTTTACGGCCCTCGAAACCGAATAGTACCCTTATCTTTAATTAAATCTGATTATTTTATTGTAACTTAATAGCGAAGAGAGAAATAAATTGGTCATGTTTTCCTTCATAAGTTTAGATGGAAAGAAAAAGTTCAATTTATGCTAAAACTTTAGACTGCATATGCTGCATCAAGTAATTTTCTCGGTGTCCTGAAAAACATTTCCGTAAATTATCATAGTAATAAATATGATTATTTTAATAGAACTTCACAGGAATAGGTAATAGTTGTTCTTATTTTCAATCAAGTTTTAAATCGAAAGAGAAAAGTCTATCTAGAAACACTTTAGAGTGCATAGATTATATCAGGAAATTTTGTGTCCCGCAAATAAGTATCATAAATTTATATCGGCTTGAATTAAAACCTAATTATTTTACTGCAGTTAAAAATCAAACAACAGATAAAAATGAAGTACTTCATGCATGATATTATTTCCAGTATTATAAAACTTATCATACCTCAGCTGTTGAATGCAAAATTTAAATTTCAAATCTTCAGTGTTAATCGAAAAATTTAATACTGAAGTTCAACTGTGAAATAATTTAGAGAATCAGCAATGTTTAACACGAAAGTGAACATTTTTACCAAACTTCTAGTACATACTTGCTGTTTGGCGAACAGCTTCGCTTATTTTGTCACTTGACCCATTATGTCACAAAAATATCACCAAATTATTGCAATCTTAAAGTATAAAAACCTTTAAAATTTTAGCATATAGATAAATTAATATATACAAATAAAAAGGGAAATATGTCAGCATTATATGTCGACTTATATTAACCGCTGTGCTGTAGATTTATTTGTCTTTGGAATGAACTTATGTTCTGCAACATTATGCATGCTTTAATTTTTTCTCAGTATAAATTCATAAAAGCGGTTGCCTGAAATTACGGTTTGCTTACCTCACGAAGAGGTACAATTTTTCATGCTCATTCCAATTTTTAAATTTATAGCATTGACAAGATTCTACCTCCCACTTCAATTTTTTCTAGGTATGCTAACCATGAGGGATAAAAAAAATTATTTCTCGTAGCTTTTGGCGCACAGTTAATGAAATTTTAATTTATTTCTGAATTTTCACTTCTGTTTTATACATAAATTAAAGTGCATGGAAAATGCAATTAAAGTAAAATACAAATAGAATAGAATATAAATAGAAGTATTAAAATACAGACAGAAGGGTAAAAAAAATAATTCAGCAAATCAAAAAACAAAAATATTAAGTAGGCTCAATCAAGAATCGCTGCATATCGATATTGATACTCAGCGATGCGTGAATCCCGTTCAACAGTAACTTAAAATCTTAAGACAGACTTGCAGTTTGTGTTTACAAAGCATCGTAATATATCATATTTCCCGTTGCACTGTAACTTAAAAACTGTAGACAAACTGGCAGTTTGTGTTTACAAAACGTCGTAAGATATCATATTTATCACAGGTATATTATAATGCATAAAACAACAAAATGTCGCTTTTTACTTACCACCAACCGTCATGATTAAGTTTTAAGTAAAGAATCCATATTCAAATTGATTCGAACTGATAAGGAATACTAACAACAATCCATCAATCTTCGGAAAAAGCTTAACTAAAACACAACACGTGCAAGAAATACTACCCCAACGCAACGCAGCGGAATTGAAACTTAACTGGCGTGCGAAGTAAACGTAAAATTTTTCATTTTCCCCTGCTCGATTTCTATTCGCTACGAGCTGGAACCGGTACGGTGACATCACCGTAATTTGTGTCGCATACACAAAACAATGCCGAATGTCATGCGCCGCGCAGTAAACGGTAATGTAGGCAAAAGCATTTAGCACCTGAATACAATAAACGTATCATTGTTCTTTTCACAAATAAGCAACTCCGCGATTTTCAAGAGTAAATCACTCTGATATTAATTTATTATTCAGTATTCTATGTCATACGTTGGAGGTCGAGAGAATGGAAAAGTATGCATTTCTCTAATGAAATTAAACGAATTTTATTAGACATAATATGCTGAATGCGGGTTATAAATAAACGGAAATTGTGATATAAGCTTTGAAAGAGCAGTACTTAACGAGATGCTGTTATGAATTGCATATTCTTTTCAAGGAAAATGTATTTTTTATGTATTCCTTTGCTTTTATTTTTACCTGTATGAGGGACAAAAAAAGATTCTCGTGAATTTTTTGTGAATTATTCAAAGATGATGGATTAAAATATGCATCCCGCAGGGAAAAAAAAGAAAATGTCAGGGTTTAATTTAAATCATATCCAGAATGTAGTAAAATATTATCCAAATTTAGAATTTATTTCATATGCGGATAAATTAGCTTTATTTAAAATAGGCTTTTCAAAAAGGTCTTCATTGTTTTCACTAAGCAGATTTCGTGTCATTATATTGCCACTTGAGGAAAATGTTTGTTGTAAATGTTTGTTAATGCACTGACTCTTAATTATTTAACTATTAATTTAATATAACCTTTTTCTCGTTGCCATTTGTCTCAGCAATTTTGAAAAATCTAGTAGGCGATCCAACATGACTGGTACTGTTGCTGTTACAAACCACAGCACATGTACTGAGCTGAGTGCTCTTGAGTGAGTACAGTCACTACCTTACCTTCCGAGAAGAATAGAATTTGCTCAGTCATGTCTTGCAGTCGCAACAGCAGCTCTCTCGATGCGCGGAAAAAAGTACTTGTGACGAAATTTCACAATCCCAGAAAACGTCCAGGCATTTGAAATTTGGCAGAATCGGAAAGAGTGTCTTTCTAGGATCTATGAGTTTGAGAGAGGTAAGTGCTTCACTGATTAAAGAAAAAAGCATGGAGAACACCCTACACTTCGACAGACACTAATCTGAGAATTGGGTTATTGGTGAGAACAGATATATCACACAGAAATTGCATCGATGCTTTCAGTCAGAGTTGTTAATGTAGAAACCGTTATGAAAAAACATTTGAGGCATGGCAAAGTGTACATCCAGCGGATTCCACGCAGATTGACTGTTAAGAAAAGAGTGATGAGTATGCAAACCGCCAGCTCTCTCCTACGACGTTTTGAAGAGGATGCATTTTGAAAGATTGTAGTAACTATGAATGAAACATGGGTCCACAAATTCAATCCGAGTCCCAGGTTTTAATCATATGACTGCAATACCAATCTTAAATTTCAACTCCTTCATTTACAATAAAGGTTCTGGTAAAAACAAAAAAGAAAATTAAAAAAATAAAGTCCCGATCATATTTGAACCACCTTGTATTTTAAAAACAAAGTTTTATATTCTATAGTTTTAATGTCGTCGTCCTGGACGATATAGTGATTAACAAAAGCTAACCGCCAATCCGAAATCAAAGAATATGGGTTCGACTCCAGCATAAGTCTTAGTTGAGACTGTCTCTTTCCTTCTTTTCGCTTCTACTTGCATTGATTCATGGGCATGTTCTCGGTGATAAAGCGGGTTAATGGCCGATTTGTCGGTGATTCCCGACGAAGGATTAACGAGCAAATGTATGGCTATTGAGTGGAAAATACCCTTATTTTTCTGGGGGGGGATTAATTGTTGACCTGTAGGATTGTCTTAAATCCTTAGCTTAAAACTGTTTGTGAAATGCTAAACTGGAAGATGCGTACCAACATCAGATTTCAATTCCTTTTAACCTTGTGACTTTTATAGGAATCATCCTACCGATGGAGACCAGCGAACCAAGAATGTTGGCGGAGATCTTGCAAAAGTTGCGTCACGCCTTCCTACAGAATTCTGAAGAAACTATCACCTCTTCATTTAATAAAAATCAGTATTCGACCACCTTCGTTTTTGAGCTTCATAAAAAGGCTTTCTTCGACTTCTGCTATTTTGTTAGACCCACTTAATTCACTAGGAGTTCTGGTTAGAACGCTGTGATTGAAAACTTCTCGTAGGTAATTTATCCACTCGGTTATATTCAGCGGCCATATCGTAACCATTAATACATATTTTTTTTTTGATAGTAGGATCTCGTAACTAAGAAATAATCCATTGTTTGCTTTTTTATAGAATCAGGTCTCAAATTATGATAATTTTATTTTTCGAAACTCAAGAAAAGACTGTTTTCGTAAAAACAAAAAGTACCTTATCGAAAGTCGATCGAAATACATCAGATGAAAATGCAGATGTTATGAGTGTGTTGTTACGTCACACTTAACTGGCGCTAAATCGTGCTGCTTGGCGAAAATTGCACCATCGAGAGGATAACAGGTATGTGCGTTTTTACATATTTTCACACATTTTAACTTTTTGAAATTTTAATGGAAAATTTTGGAACGTATAAAACTATAACCAGAATTTTTTAGATTGCAGGTTTTCTTATTCAGATTTTGTTTAAAGTCATTTTACTTCGTACAAAGAAGTAAAAAAGAAGTATTGTAATTACGAATACCATATTTCAACGAAAATATCCATTTTTACTACTCTTGAAACCATTTAAATAATTTTTTTGCGTAACATATGTACGTATGGGAAGAATAAAGGACTCTTTTTTCCAAAATGGATAGTAAAATGGATTAAAAATGCATTCCGAAAAGACTTTTTTCGTGACGTATGTGTCTCACATGACTCAAAAACGGGTTGCCGTAGAGCGTTGAAATTTTGTGTGTGAGACCGCTGTAACATGTAGTTGTGCACTTTCCTGTCTATCTACGAAAGTTCTCACCAAACGTATATATATCGCATATATATTTTCCCACTCTGCTTGGTGAGCTCGGGTTTTTTTATTCTTATATGTTGGTAAATAGTGCATTTTTTTATTTAAAAGTGAATTGTTCGTGTGGTGGTTGAATTATTTTGTTCTTATGCTCCGGTTAAGGTTTCTGGTTAGGTTAGGTTCCAGTTAGTTAATCTGCAAGCAATAGTTATAGATTTATCAGTAATTTAAAAGTTTTAAGTGCTGCTAAATACAACGAGGCCACTGTTTATTTACATTTGGAACTGTGGCTAATCTTTGGAATATGGTAACAGGTAGTTTGGTGACATTTTGGTAAGACGATAAAGGTTACTAGCTAGGACTTTAGCAGTGTACATGGATAAAGTCAAGAGTGTGCGCAATGCCATTTTTGTGCATTTCTAGGATGTTTTTTTAAGTGAAAATAGGTCGGCGTGTACATGGATACCGTGTATGTGCAATCTTAAAAATGCGGCAAGCAGTTTGCGATTCTGCACTTTCTCCCAATTTCGAACCTAATCTTCGTCAGGATTAAGCACTTTTGTTCCATAAAAGTTCTAGCATAAGCGTAATTCGGCTAGCAGATTGTTGGAAAAAAATGTTGAGTTAAAAAAAAAAAAAAAATGCTTTTACTTTGTGTAAACAAAATGGCGTCCAAACAAAAACTAGCAGGTTGCTGTAGCAGGGTTGGTCCCCAAATTTTCGCCAAAAATCGCCAAGTTACCATAATTTAAAGATTAACCGGAACTGTTAGTAGAATAGTAAATTCAGTTGGTGAACCAAGTTCACTATCTTTTTCTTTTTGCCCAATGCGACCAAAATTAACTTTCAGTTTCGTACAGTGAAAATTTGGTCTTCCTGCCCGTTGATCGAATTGCCTGTTTTGGCCTAGAAACTTTAATTCTAAATGTAAAAATTGTTTTTTAGACTGTTTTTAAATGTATTTGGTGTTTTAGGCTTTTCTGTATTTTATAACTTTTACTGAATATGTTTTGAGTTTTTATGTATTTTTGTCTTGCCGCGAAATGAAAAATATATCTCTAACGGAATTCGAGGAATTAAATTTAAATGAAGTGCAGGAAAATATTATCTAATTTAATAGATCGCACAAAGAAGTCATGTCGTTTCCGCAATAGATATTTTCTTTAAAATGTGTGGAGAAGAGATATCCCTTCTTAATAGTAATAATTACAGACTTTTAAACCTTTTACTTTAAAATCTTATACACTTACAAAATGATTTAAAATGTCTGGAAAGACTTTCTATTTTGTAAACTTTTCGAGGAATCAGAAATAAATATTTCATGTGGCAGAGAAAAGTAAAGCACTAAGAAGCGCGGTCACTACCAACGTTGCTATATTTCGTGAGTGCACATATGTATCGCCACTAAGGGAGTGGCAATAGGCTTCCAGTAATATTTCTATCATTTCACATGACCTTTGCCGCGTTTTAAGCAAGATGATTGAAAATGTTTTGCAACGTAATTTCCTGTAGGAAATAACTATTAAAGTATCGTAAATTTTTTATGAAAATTTACGATGCGATGTTAGAATAAATATAAGCATCTGTTTGTGAACCAAGTTCAGTATCTTTTTGCCCAATACGATATATGTAAATAGTAGAAGTCCTAGAATTTTTTATTGCAGTCTGTATGAAAAAGATGTTCTATAATAATAGCCAATGCACAGTTTTATTCAAAGAGAACGTACCTAATTTGCGTTCCTATAAATCAATGTGTTAAATTTAACATGAATAACTATTCACTCTTAAATGCATTGCTTGCACAAAAAATACTCTTACAAACAGAATGAATTTAACTTATTCACAACGAATATATTTTATTTATCCATACATGGTTTTTACATACATGTTAAAAATAAGTATAATCAGATCATTCACAATATACATTTTGAATCTTATACTTTCAAAATCAAATGAATTCAATAATTGGAATAAGAAAAA